AGAAGGAAGGAAAGGTGGAGAGAACAGAGAGAAAAAAAAAAAGAAAAGTAGAAAAAAGGAGAATAAAGAGGAAAAAAAAAAAAAAGAATAACAAAATACAAATACCAACTAAAAAGAGAAAAGGATACACCAAACAACACATTTTTTTAAACAGTGATTGATTTTTTTTTATTATTATCATTATTTGATATGACATGTTGTACCTGAACACAAGGCAATTCCCTACATAACCACAGACATAAAGTAAACAAAAAGACACACAAAGCCACTGCATCCCTTTTGGAACAATCTGTGCAACGGAAGTACAGCTTTAGTACAGTTAATGAATTTTTTTTTACTCGCAGGTGCCATGGAAGGTCGACTTATACAGGTACGTAGAATTAAACGGAAAGGAATCTGATTCTTTATATTTACCTGCGCTAGTTACCCCCAAGAAAACATAGATCTACATATACATACATATATATATATATATATATATATATATATATATATATATATATATATATATATATATATATATATATATATGCAAGGGCAATTTCCTGCTCTAAAAAATCATTAACTGCCATACACTAAAGAGCGGAGAAAATGGACAATTGACACGGCAAGGAAACCCACACACAAGGAAGAAAGTGCACATAGGCCTTTTTTTAATATTTATAATAGTTATTTCATATTTTACAGGAGAAAAATATAAAGAATAATTATTACGGTGGTATGTTTTTTTTTTTTTTAATCTTACACAAGCGCGTCTGAACTAACTGGTACCGAGGTTGGTGGTTGCGGCTGGTATTGACGTTAATTTTCTCTCTTTTTTTGCTTTTCTCTTCTTTTCTTGTTTCTGTCTCTTACATTCCCTTTGCTTTCTCTCTCTTTGTTTTTTCTATAGACATAGAGTTCTATTATTTTTTTTTTAATTTTCATTTCTAAACACGAGAGAATAACTTTTGAAGGAACATTTCCTGTCCACTTTTCCCCGAATCAGAATCTTGACCGCCGAAACGAGACTTCTCGAGAGAGAAAAGAATAAAAACAGAATTCCATATATACACCAACGGAAGAGAAATATATCAGCGCCTTCCACCTTTCTCCACTTGACTTTCACCAGACCCCACTTATGCAATTAATTCTTCATCCACACGATATGTGTTCTTGAGTTCCCTATTCAAGGTTCTCACTCAACTTATCCCTGAGTACAAAGTTGCTTTAAGAGGAACAATATCTCCGTTAAACACATAATAATTAATGTATTTATTCATTGTTATTGATATCATCATCCAGTTTCATGTCATGTCATAGGAAATATCCCAAAGAAAGGAGATAATACTCTTTATACTTAGTATCTCTTACTTAGTACGAGAGTATGCACATATACATCTATTAAATAAAAATAAAAACAGTTCTCCAAAAAAATAGCAGCCCCAAGTTGTTGTTCTTCCACGAGAACAAGAACGAGTCAATTTTTTACAAAATAGGATAATCATAATCATAGTTATGATAATTTTTTTTCATACTGTATGAATTTCTCTCTCTCTCTTCTGTCGACCACGACATAGCAAGGAATATAATACATCATTTAAAACCCCTTTCTTATTTCCGTAAGCAGGACTGTCGCGGTAACCAACACTTAGAAACAAAAGGCTACACACCACGATGTCTGGCTAAAAAATAAAAACCCTAAAACTGACAGGCAGTGATTTTTCTACTCACAACTCTTTTATAGATACATTTCTTCTCCTTTTTGGGGGAAGAAGAAGAGGATTCTTATTATAAATATCGCCTCTACATACGTCCTATGCAGAGAGGAATGAAATGAATATGGAATTATCATTTTGTATTTCATGGAATTATGAAAAGAAAGAAAACGATGTGCAGCTTTCTATTGGACTTCTATCAACTAATACCCGCATACATCCAAACTAATACTGTGTAAAAATAGAAAATAAAAAGTTCAAACGAAGCTGCACATTTACGTCACTAATATCTCAAAAAAATATCCTTTGAACCATGAAATCAGAGTCTGAAGAAAAATGGAACTATTGCCGTTTTCAAAGCTTTCAAAAACGAAGAGCGACAACACATGGAGTCTCTCACGCAGCAGAGAATGTTTTGATATTTGAACTAAACTTCCTTATACGAAATATGGATTTTTATAGTGAATAAACTCTTCTATATATACAATACATGTCCTATAGCTGACTAGAGCCTATGTTCACATGATGCGGTTCAACGGAACCGCTGCCATTAGTCTACGAAGCACCCGAAACAAGGAAACTGGGGCGAGTTCAGAGGGCCAACTTGGCACTCTTTGGGGGCCATCGTCGAGGACCAGCTGGCGTCGTGGGCGGGGAGAGCGGGCGGGCCGGGAGAGCACCTCCTCCTCCTCCTCCTCCTGCGGCGCCTCCGGAAGCGTCTCTGTGCGCCAGCTGGTGAGATCATCATGAAGTCCAACTCGGTGAGATCATGGGAGTCACAACCAAACCCGTGAGAGTGACTGAAGAACGACGCCTGGGTCGAGGGAGGAATCCGTTCCTCTCTTGCGCTTTCTTCCTTTCGCCTTCATTCGTTCTCCCTTCGGAGATCGGCGGGCGCGCCCTTACGAGTGCGAGGAGCGGGCGATGTGGAGGAAGAAGGCCACCTTGTCGGCCGCCTGGTGGCCGCACATGTTGCACGTGAAGGGGTTGCGGTAGCCGTGGTAGCCCATGTGCATGGTGTACATGACCACGTCCTTGAAGGCCATGTCGCAGAACTGGCACTGGTGGGCGCCCCTCCACTGCTCCGTGTGCGGCTGCTGCGGCTCCTCCTGCATCTCCTGGCCGTGGTGGGCGTCGTCGCCCTGCAGCGGCTCCAGCGGCACCAGCGGCGGCAGCGAGGCCTCCGTCGGGCGGCGCGGCGGCTCCTCGTCGTCCCGGCGCGAGTCCTCGTCGTGGCCGCTGCTCTCGCCCTCGGCGCTCTCGCTCAGCCGCATGGCGATGCGCTCCAGCTTGAAGGCGCGGCCCTTCCGCCGGTTCTTGGAGGGCGGCGTGGACGTCTCGGAGCGCGGCGGCGACGACGACTGCGGCGACGAGTGGTGCGGCGACAGCGACGCCTGCGACTCGGAGCGCGGCTCGGACGACGGCACCTTGCGCAGGTCGGAGCCCTGCTGCGGCGGCGTCTGCTCCTTGCTCAGGTCCAGCACGCCGTCGTCGTTGGGCGAGTGCGCCTGCGGGTGGGCGTGCGGCTCGTGCGGGGAGCCTTGGGGCGGCTCGTGGGCGGGGCCGTGGTCGTCGTCGGCGGGCGCGAGGCGCGGCCCGTGCAGCGCGGGGTGGGCGAAGCGCTGCAGGTGCTGCTGCAGGCCCAGCGCCGGGTGGATCTGGCCGCTCATCATCTGCTGGTACAGGAACGGGTTCATGGCGCGGGCCAGGTACTCCTTCAGGTTGTGGGCGGCGGCCAGGGGCGAGTACGGCGCGCCCGGCTCGCCGGGGGCGGCTGCAGCGCCTGGTGCGGGTGGAAGACGGCGCGCGCGCGGCGACGCTGGGCGGCGCTCGGGCGACAGCGAGCGCTCCAGCGGCTTGGGCGAGTGCGCGCCGTCGTCGCCGTCGTCGCGGCGGTCGGCGGCGGCGTGCAGCAGCACGTGCTGCGAGAACACCTCGCGCAGGTCGGTGCTGAACTCGCACTGCGGGCACTTGAAGGCGCCGCCCGGCGACAGCGGCGTCTTCTGCGTGAGGCGCTCGCGCTCCAGGAGCAGCTCGCGCAGCTGCTCGCGGCCCTCCAGCGCCTTCGGGGCCTCCTCGGGCGACTTCTCCAGGGCGCGCGACAGGATGGGCGACGAGCTCTGGAAGTTGGGGATCATGCTGGGGTACGGGTAGGAGAAGGGCGAGTGCGGCGGCGGCGCGTGCGGCGTCTGCGGCAGGGCGGTGGGCGTGCGGCCCTGCGGCGGCTTGGAGCCCTCGCGCGGCGACGTGGGCGTCTGCGGGGCCTGCGGGAGCGTGGCGCCGGCCTGCATCTGCGCCTTGAGCAGCTGCGCCTGGATCTGGTAGTGCGGCGGCAGGATGGGCATGCCGTTCTCGTCCTTCTTGAGCTTGGGGCCGCGGCGCGTGCCGTACACGTCGATGATGGGGATGGGGTTGGGCGAGCCGTCGGGGTTGAGCACCATGGCGGGGTTGTGGCCGTACTTGCGCAGGTGCAGCTTCAGCGAGTGGCAGTACTTGGTGGCGTACGTGCAGTCGGCGCAGCGGTACTGGTAGATGTTGCTGTGCGACTTCATGTGCGAGTTGAGCATGGACTTGTTGACGCACGAGTAGTTGCACTTGTTGCACTTGAATGGCTTCGAGCCGAAGTGGTTCCTGAGGTGGTACTCGAGGTGGTGCTTGTACTCCGTGACGAAGGGGCACTTGGGGCACGTGAGCAGCTTCTCGCTCTTGATGTGCGTGCGCGCGTGCTCCCAGAAGTCGCCCTTGGTGATGGCCACGTACTCGCACTGCTTGCACTTGAAGGTCTTGACCTTGCCCTGGGCGTTGACGCGCGGCACGCGGATGCCCTCCAGGTCCTCGTTGGAGTCGGGGCTGAGGCCGTGCTCGTCCTGCATGTGCTCGCGCAGCTTGGGCTCCGTGCGCGCCGTGAACTCGCACTTGGCGCACTTGTGGTCGTAGTGCGTGTTGAGGTGCGCGTCGAAGTGGAAGCGCGACGAGCCCGAGTACGAGCACAGGTGGCACTGGAACACCTGCTTGTCGCCGCCCTCGCCCTCCTTGCCCATCACGCCCGACAGCTCGAGCGCGTGCTGCAGGCGCGACAGCGGGTTCATGTCGCCGCCGTCGTGCAGGGACGACGAGTCCATGGAGTCGTCGTGGCCGTCGGGCTCCACGCTGGACGGCATGCGCTCGTCGCTGCCCTGGTAGCTCTCGCCGTACGGGGACAGCGCGTCCTCGCCGTGGCGGAAGGCCGACTCGTAGCCGCGGAACGAGTCGTTCTGCTCCTCGGCCGCGTGGGCCTGCGTGCGCGCCGAGTCGGTGGGCAGG